TGCTTAGGATTGCACCAGCTAATGATGGGAGTACAGGGGTGGATATCTAGAGTGGTCAGTAATGTTTGACAAGGACTGACGAAGACTTGAATTTCTCTCTTGCTTTGAAGTAGTGATTGGTTCAAGTTAGAGGTGATGAGGGCTATTACTGATGCTGCTCTCATTGACCTGAATCAAGCTCAGAGTGGCCTTGCTCTGTCTTTAAGATTGAGTCTGCGACCATGAGTAAATCAAATTATAGAGCAAACTGGAGGTCTATAGGGGAGAAACTCTGTCTTATTTTTTCAAAGAACTCTGAGACTTCTTCATGAAACAAACATGCACCCAACCTCTTATCCTTTACTTTAGCTTCATCTCTGAGCTACAATGATGGCTTCAAATGACAAGTTCAGATCATCCAAATATGTTGTAGGACAGTTGGTATGCCAGCACTAAATTGATGCTTGCTGAAAAACAATTCCTTTAAAGATTTTTTATTTATTTTAGAGAGAGAGGGAGAGATGGAATGAATAAGGGAGAGAAACAGAGGCAGAGGGAGAGGGAAGAGAGACTCTCAAGTAGACTCCTTCCTGAGCTTGGAGCCCAATGTAGGGCTCGATCTCATGACCCTGAGAGATCATGACTAGAGCAGAACTCAAGAGCTGGTCTCTTAACAACTTAGCCACCCAGACACCCTGAAAAACAATTTTATCAGAGTAGGCTATTAATTTCTTCATTAAGTTATCAGTGATTTATTTGTTAGGAACCATTCTTTTTTTTTTTTTTCAAGTTTTTATTTAAATTCTATTTAGTTAGCTTATAGTGCAATATTGGTTTCAGGAGTAGAATTTAGTGATTCATCACTTATTAAGTGCCCTCCTTAATACCCAGAACCCATTTAGGGCATCTCCTGCCCATCTCCCTCAATGAATTGTCAGTTTGCTTTCTACCCTTAAGAGTATCTTATGGTTTGTTTCCCTCTCTCCTTTTCTTTTCTCCCCCATTCCCATATGTTCATCTGTTTTGTTTTTTAAATTCCATGCATGAGTGAAATCATATGGTAATTGTCTTTCTCTGACTGACTTGTTTCACTTAGCCTAATACAGTCTAGCTCCATCCACCTCATTGCGAATGGCAAGATTTCATTCTTCTTGATGGCAGAGTAATATTCCATTGTATATACATACCATATCTTCTTTATCCATTCATCAATCGACATTTGGCCTTGTCAGAAACCATTCTAAATGCTTGAAAAATAATGATTACTCTTTGGAGAGATAAGCACATGAAGAAACAACATAACCAAATGCTGTATCAGTGCTGCAGTAGAGATAAGAGGCAAATGTGGTGACTGAGGAGGGATGACTTTTAGTGATAGAGGCATCACAGTAGCAAGTCATGGCTCAACTGGGTGTTGAAGGATGAATAGGATTTCACCAAGCAAAGAAGAGAAAGAAGATGTTTACAGCTTTAGCAACGTTGGGGGGGGGGGCAGTTCACAGCTTTAGCAACGTGGTGGTGGGGATGGTGCAGTGTGTTTGTGCTGGAGCAGTATGTAATTGTGTGTGAAGTAGTGTAATGGAGCCCCAGACATCTGGAATAGCAAGCAGTTTCTGCAGCTGTAAACCAAATGCCAGTCTTCATATGCAGGCAATGAAGAGGAGGCCATTTATTGTTTTGTCAGCCACATCCGCACACACAAGATAGTGATCTCCATCTGTGGTGTTATCTTTAAATAGAAATGGAGCTTCCTGCTGAGGGTTCAGTGGCGTGCTTTTGCTGAGCCCCATTTACCATGCCCTATAATATCTCACTCACGTAGTCTCACCCCAGTTCCGTCAGTGTCTGTGAGAGGTCGGAACATTTCATTCCCACCCAAGGTGGTGAGTACCTTCAGCGGAAGGATCACTCCTTCAGATTCTCTGTAGCTTGCGTGGATTTGCCTTAAATGTGGAGTGAATGACTGAATGAATTCCAGTCACAGGCCATCCTAGAGAATTTATGAGTAGTCTGACCTTGGCTTTGGCTACTGACCACACTCATCCTCTTTGTCCAGGTTGTCAATGGTAATTGACAACTAATTCTTCCCTAATTCTGCCTCTGTGACCTGTTAGAAAAAACATTCATCTGGAGACTAATGTTCTATGTTCTCTTGTTTCAAGCTGTGGGAACAGCAGTCTTTTGATGAAAAAGCCAGTGGTTAAAACACTGAAGACTTTGTTTGGGAGGGCTGGGCTCACCTCTTTTGCAGACCTTTGTAGGGCCCTCCTATCCCTGCTGTTTCCTGAAGAGCACCCCTCACCTCGCACTTCTCTAGCAGAATCTGCAAGCTTTGCATCTCATCTAATTTTACCCATCTCTTTGTCCATTCCCTTAGGTCCTAAAGTTGTGCTAATGGCTAAAGTCATCTGTGCCAAGGTGTCAGAGTCTGGAAATTCAGCTTGAAACAGGGAATTGCCCCCAAACAGAGAGAGAGCATTCTGGACCTTTTGACCTTTCTCACATCAAGCACCCGTTCTAGACCTGGATTCAGAATTCCATTATCAGAGTCAGCTCAGAGTAACTCAAACTCTGTTTAGGTGCTTCAAGTGAGAACTAGCCAGAGGATGAGCAAGTCTCTGAAAGCAGATGAAGTTGAGGATAGTAAAATGATTCCTTCTCCTCCCATCACTGGCTGAGAGTTTATTTAAAAAAAAAAACAACAACAAAACACATCAGGAGACTAATTGTGAATGAAATAAAGGACATCAAAAGAATCTTCCTAATTAACTTAAATACTGATTGTTACCATTAGAAAATGAGTCAGCCTAAAAACACATGTAATTGCAGTCTTCCTGTGTTGTGGGAAGCCTAGAGATTGAAGAAGTACATTATTAGCAGGAAAGGACAGGCCATGGTGACATCCATCATAAGGAAGAGCTGGTTTTAGCCATCACTGACTGTGCATGTGACATTTGCTTGACTGACTGCAAAGCACTGGATGCCCGGGAGGCTGGTAGTCTTCACTGCATGGCCAGTACCTGAGTGGCAAGCACATATTACTACTCCTGTTTGGCAAATGGGAAACCGAGGAACTGGAAATTGTAACGAGAATGAAATAAATCACTGAAGTTCAGGGCAAAATTGTGAGAAAGACCTTGGTACCTTATTTCTCTTGCTGTGCTCTTTTCCCTCCCTTCTTGATGCTTCTTGCTGATTGCATAGTTCTCCTATTAAAACTTTCCTTGGGGAAACGGTGTGTTTTTTATACCTCTGTGTAAATATTGATCATCCTCCTAGAGGACACTTGACTATAGACTCTCACCTCTAATAATGATAAGAAAAATTTTTGAAGGGCTCTCCTAAACCCTAAATTCCTAAAGAGATCAGAGGTACCCATAATTAACATAAATCTGGTGGAGGAGGAAAGAAGAAGGGAACAGAATCTTTCCGTGTGTCCCCGACGTCCCATTGCAGTCCTGCCTTGTGTAAGGTGAGTATCTAGGAACAGGTGGTGTAGCAGAGAACAATGGAGTTTCTTCTGATGATGCAAGTGTGAAAAGCTAATTTGCTAAGTTAACCAAAAGAGATCCTTTCATGGAGTATATATTATGAGAAACTACGTGAGAACTATGGGATGCCCAGATTGGGGATCATTGACTAGTAGAACTAATGTCTTAGCTCAGTCAAAATACAATAAACAAAACCAATATGTATGTCATTATTTATTCAAATATTTCTAATTATATGGCTTTAGATAGGTGTTCTTTATCTTGTTAGTGCTGTGAAATTTGGGGCAGTCTTGTGAAGTCTTTGGGTCAGTCCCTTGACAAAATAGTATTTTTGTTTTTATTTTTTAAAGATTTATTTATTTGACAGAGAAATGGTGAGCATGAGCAGGAGGGGCATAGGGAGAGGAGGAGAGAATCTCAAGCAGACTCCTCAGAGCTCCATCTCATGCTCTGAGATCATGACCTGAGCCAACACCAAGATTTGGATGCCCCCAGAATAGCATTTTTAGTGCATCAAATCAAACACTTAAAATTTCAAAGAAAACAGAGTACGGAAAGGCATTCATCAAAATTTTTACAAAGTTGTGATATAGGCTCTATTAATGAATTAAAAACAAGATCTAGTCCACAGACTCGATGATTTCATAACTTCATAGTGGTGATGAACACAAATAATATTTTAAGTTCTCTGCAACAGCTATCCTGTGATATTAAAATATCTGAGGTTTCTTTGGAGGTACAGTTAAAATTACCTGAATACCTGAGGCTACTAGTGACTACTGGTCCATGTTTATAGTGGAATGAAGTGCTATGTTTAATTCAGGGTTGGTGAAAGGTTTGCAGTGGGCTTCCTGGCTTAACAGTCTGTCTACCTCCTTGAACTGTGTGGTGTTGGAAGGAGAACATAGCCTTTGAATTACCACTCTGAGTTCGAGTCTCCATGAAGACTTTACTTCCAGGGTGACTCAGCTTTAGTTAAACTCAGTTTTAGTTAAACTTCTGGAATTTAATTTTTTTTAATTTGCTTTTTTAAAAATGGGAAACTATTGAATTCTGCATGAAGTTATTGAGCAGGCTAAATGATATCATGTATATTCAACATCTAGCACAATGTCTGTCACACAGAGGGAACTCAGCAAATAATAACTCAGGTAATTTTTTCCCTGACTGTAGAAGGGAGAGTGAAGTAGGTAAGATGATTTGTAAAAGTTAAGTCTTGCTTTAAGATCCTGGTTCTGAGCAATTTGCTGCCTGAGACAACGCACATACAGTCTGTTAGTTTTAAAAGAATTTGAGAAGGAAGATACTTTGGAAAATGCATTCCATTTTATGCAGCTCTAAACCAAGCCGTAAGTCTAGCTGTCTAAAATTTCAAATCTGTAAAATTTAAGCAAGCTTTCAGGAACTAATTGTTAAGAGGTAATGAAAATTCCAGTGAAATAAGATACCATTTTAGGATTTGGAATGCTGGCTTTACTGTTTTATGGTAATATTAAGATTTTAGTTGAGTTCTCATCTTCTCCCATGCAGAAGTGAGAGGGGGTGACATGCCAAGGAGCCATTTAGAAGCCCATGCAGAAGAAGACAAAACCCCAATCTGCTCAGGAGCCTGAGCCACTCCCTCAAGACAAAGGTCAGAAACAAAGCAGGTACTGGACACAATGGACAATTTCAGGGGCTTTGCAGACATATCTAAAATGAGTTAATTGAGAAGAAACTTCACGTGATGTTTTACCCAGTGAGAACTTGCTGAATTTTCACTTCTTTTCTTTTTTTTTTTTAAGATTTTATTTATTTATTTGATAGACAGAGATCACAAGTAGGCAGAGAGGCAGGCAGAGAGAGAGGGGGAAGCAGGCTCCCCACTGAGCAGAGAGCCCGACGTGGGGCTCGATCCCAGGACCCTGAGATCATGACCCGAGCCGAAGGCAGAGGCTTTAACCCACTGAGCCACCCAGGCACCCCCTGAATTTTCACTTCTTAAGCTGTTAAGAAGTTATTGGATTTTTGGAATTTTTATTGTTAAGTATTCCAGATATCTAGTCACTAATCACCAGATACCATAGAATCCAGTAAAATTTATTTGGATTTTACAACTTGAAATGTTAACTTAAAAAAAAAAAATAGAACATATTGCGTGGTATATAAGGTGTAAGTATTCAATTCAGTGAAAATTGTTTAGATTTCTATTTTCAGATTTGGGAGGCTACAATCAAGGTTATTTGAGAAGTGGGACCTGGTGTTTTACTGTTACCTATGAGTGTCCACACAGAAATTTATAGATGTGGGAAAGGCTGGGTAATGAGAATGCTCCGTAAAGAGGCACCGTACTTCACCAGGGAGAAATCGTCCAAGTTCCTTCACAAATGTTAAGATATATGCCTACTTAATTGTATGTTGCATTTTCCATGGTCTTTGCTTTATTCATTTCATGTGCAGCAATTAAAAAGATATATTGTACATTTTAGTATCTCTTATGTTTTCCAATAAATACAAACCTGGAGTGCAAATTTTTTTCTTTTTCATTCTTCTCAGAGATGTGGTGAACATCGAATAAGATCATTATTTTGAAAGACTTACGTCTTGTTCATTTGAGCTGCTATAACAAAATACCACAGACTGAGCCGCTTGTGGATAACAGTAATTTATTTCTCACAATTCTGGAGGCCAGAACTCTGAAATTAGGGCTAGCTTGGTCAGGTGAGGGCTCTCTTTCAGGTTACAGATTTCTAGTATCCTCATGTGGAGCCTTTTTTATAAAGCACTAATCACCTTCCAAAGGCCCCACCCCCAATACCATCACTTTTAGGGGTAAGAATTTGATGTATGGATTTTGGGAGGACACACTCTGTGAGACTGTGATTTATAAGAAATATGTGTTTGGCCATTTAGATGACCATAATATACGGTAGCCCCCCTTGTCTGCAGTTTTGCTTTCCACAGTTTGTTACCTGAGGTTATCCGGGGTCCAGAAGCAGATGATCCTCCTGATGCATTATCAGAAGTTCATCGGGAGACTAATGTTACGTCACAGTGCCTACGTCATTCCCCTCACTTCACCTCATTGTGTAGGGATTTTATCATCTCACGTTATCCCAAGGAGGGTGAGTACAGCACAATAAGAAATTTTGAGAGAGAGAAGCCACATTTATGTAACTTTCATTACAATATATTGTAATTGTTCTACTTTGTTACTGTTATTACTAAGCTCTTTGTATGCCTATTGTATAAATTAACTTTATCATAGGTATGTATGTATAGGAAAAAATATAGGGTGTACAAGGTTCTCTGTTATCTGCAGTTTCAGGCATCTACTAGGAATCTTAGAATGTATCCCCTCGAATAAAGGAGGACTACTGTATTTTTCATATATATTTGGTCTCGGTCAACAGTTCCTGGCTCACAATTCTGCAAACCCTTGGTATTTCCTAAGCGCTGAGAGTGACAAAAGTGTCTTATGTTAATGAGATGACTTCTGGAAAGCACCTAAGGCTAGGGGGTACTTTCCAGGAGAACCAACCATATGATCAGGTTGGAACTCCCAGTTCTACTCCCCAACCTTTGGGGAGGGGGGAGCCCCTCAAGGTTGAATTCATTATCAAAGGCCAATGATTTAATTTATCATGCTTATGGAATGAGGCCTTCATAAAAACCGGGAAGACAGGATTTGGAGAGCTTCTGGGTTGGTGAACACTTGGAAGCACTGGAAAAGTGGTGCCCTAGAGAGAGTATGGAAGTTCCTCCCCCTTTCCCCAAGCCTTGCCCTGGGCTGCTCTTCCATCTGTTGTTCCTGAGTTATATCTTTTTATGCTAAACTGGCAACCTAGTAAGTAAAATGTTTCTCCGAAGCCTGTGAGCTGTTCTAGCAAATTAATCAAATCCAAGGAGCAAGATTGGGAACCTCTGATTTATAGCTGGTCGGTCAGAATTACTGATAACAACATGGGCTTGCAACTGGCAACCGAAGTAGGGAGGGCTGTCTTGTAGGACTGAACCCTTCATCTGTGGGACTTGATGCTGTCTCTGGCCAGAAGGTGTCAGAATTGAGAGACTTGAGTTGAATCCTCGGACACTTGCTGGGGGGCCAAGAATTGTTTCTTGTTGTGGGGGGAACACCCTTCGCACACATTGGAATTGAGTCCAAGAACCAAAAAGACACTCAGATATAGCAACTTGATAAACAGGATTATCAGAGATTATTACTGCCTTTGCCTTATAAATAGATGTTGTCTCTTAAGAAGATGGTTTATTTTATTACATCATAATCCAGTTAGTACATTCAAATTGGTATTGCCTTGAATGATTCTGTAAGATACTCCTTTGCTTTTTAAAAAATAGACTTTGTATCATCCTGCATTAATATAGTATATCTGTTACAATTGATGAGCTAATATGGATGCATTATTATTAAAGTCCATAGCTTATTTAAATTTCCTTAGTTTTTTTCTTATGTCCCTTTGCTGGATTTCCCAGAATCTCATTGATGATGCCACACTACATTTCGTCATCGTGTCTCCTTAGGCAGTTCTTGCCTACAACAGCCTCGGCTTTCCTTGTTTTTGAACACCTTGCTGGTTTTTAGGAATACTGGTCAGGCATTTTATAGAATGGCACCTGTTGGATTTGTCCGTTGGTTTTCTTGTAATTAGATTGAAGTTGTGGGTTTAGGGGAGGAAGTTCACAGGGATAAAGTGCCATTTTTTTATCACCTTATGTCAAAGGTCCATCCTATCGACATGATTTATCACTATTGATATTGACCTTGATCACCTGGCTGAGGTGAAGTAGGTTTAATTTCTCCACTGTAATTTTGGTGCTAGGTGTGCTTTTCATTACTGATGTATTGTTGCTTTAGGTCTTCTCTGCCAATGGAGTAAGGAAATATGTGTGTGTGTATCTGTACATTATATATTGTACAGACTTATAGCATCTGTAACTATTTCTATGTGTAACCATATGTGTCTCTGTTAGGCCAAGCATTAGTTCATACGGGTATCTCCAGTTCTTATCAATCACCAAATGGCTCATGCTAGCCTCTTCCCCTTGCCCTTCCATGATTTCCCACACCAACATTGAGAAACCTGGTTCCCACTATCGGTTTATTTATGTTCAGTCATAATACATATGTATAGCAGTGTCAGAATGATCGTCCCTTACCCCTGTACTCCTGTGGGAAATAACTTCATCAGTTTACATGCCCTGTAACTGAAAACCTGTATCTCCCACCCACTTCACTCAATTTGACCATCCTCTTACCCCTCCCCCAATGCTGGCAACCATCAGTTTGATGTCTGTGCCAAACCCACACTTTTAAAAACAGAACTTCAACCCAATTTTCTAAAGAGCGTCTTGTCATTTACAGATATTCGGTACGAAGAAATTTAAAGAAACTTTCAGCACATTTTATTATAAATTTTTTTGAGTCAAGACAAATAACTAGAATTATATTGCTGGTTAATTTTTCAGAACTGGCAAGATAAATTTTAAGGTTAAATATGTATTTCCTCTTTCCTAGTTTAGCCTTTCCAGCTCCTGTTCCCTCCCACCACCACCCCGTGAGGGTGAGAACTGAGGTTTAAAAGGAACTTAAAATTTTCGGTTATAAAACTGATCTACGTCAGGATTCCCAACTAACTTGACCATCAAACACAATAGGAGGTATAATTTCCTGGCAGAGCACAAATGAGGTATAACTGTGCCCTTGGAAAGAAGTGGACAGCAACAAGCATCCCTGGTCACTGGTGACGTCCATACCGCCAAACACAGTGGGCGATTTTCTGTCTTTATCCTCCCTGATTTCTGAACAGCAATTGATTAGATGAACACTCCTCACTTCTGGAAACCTTTTCCTCTGAAAGCTTCGAGTACCTACATTCTCCTGTTTTCCTTCTACCTGTCTGCCCCTCCTTCTAAGAGTCTCTTGAGGTTCTTAAACTTCCATCCTAGCCTGCTTTCTCTGTGGTGGCTGTCATCTCTCTAAAGTGACGGTCTCATTCCCAATCTTTAAGTAGCTCTACATGCTTCTTAGACTTCAACTGTATCCCTCTTTTCCTCTTGTTCTCTGCATTTCTTAAAGTTTCAGATACTGAATTACTCTGAAAAGTAAAGAGGCCTTATTGCCAAGGGAAGGGGCAAGTTTTAAGCTCTGTTTGTTTTCTTGCAGTGGCCTTTTGAGTGAATTCTTGGGCCTCAATTAACTTAGATATTTCCTACAGGAAATATCTATGCAATTCTAAGTTTTTGTCGGGAAGTTATATCCACTTATCATTGTTTTTCAACTTCCTTTTTGGGCTATGAATTAGCTATAAACAGGCTGAAAGGAATCATCTGCAGTGATGCTTCTGGCCAAAAATATTTGTTTTGGCCACTTGCAGGAACTCAGTTGATAAGTCTTAGAAATATTGGTTACTCTGTGTCCTGGACAGGTGGCCTTGTCACTGCCCATTAATTCACAGCGGTTAGGTAGTCTCCCTACTAGCACAGTGTTTTCAACCTTGGCTACACATTATGATTACAGGGGAAGCTTCTTAAAAGTACTCATGTTTGGCTCCCTTAGAGACTCATGTTTGACTGACCCTGAGTGGTGCCTAAGCAGAGGTACTTTTCCAAAGATCCTTTGGTGATAGTAACATGAGGCTAAGTCTGAGAACCACTGACATCTGCCCTGGGATGAGCAAATCTTCGTCTCAGTTGAACATGGCTTTCTCTTCTGCCTCCTAATACTCGCCTGAGTGGGCATATCGCTTACACATTCAGAGGCCAATTCCTCCTCTGTAATGTAGGACAAATTGTGTCAGCACCAGAAAAGCTAGACCTGACGAGTCTAGCACTTTGTAGGCTCAAATAGGGGTTTAACTCCAAGTACAACCTTCTAATAAGACAGTCCCAATTTTCTTCACTGGTGACAATTTTTTTTCTTTTAGCCAATAGTGTCATTTCCTTTTGTCTTCTTAAAATGTCAGCATATCAGGGTGCCTGGGTGGCTCAGTGGGCTAAGCCTCTGCCTTTGGCTCACGTCATGATCTCAGGGTCCTGGGATCCAGCCCCGCGTTGGGCTCTCTGCTCGGCATGGAGTCTGCTTCCCTGCTCTCTCTCTGCCTGCCTCTGCCTACTTGTGATCTCTTTTAAATAGATAAATAAATAATCTTTTAAAAAAATGTAAATATATCCCCCATACCAGCACTTTATATCCTGTTATTGATGATAATAGCCGGGAGCAGTTCAAAAGTCAAGAAATGAGATCTTGTGTCAGTTGGGCTTTTCTCATTTAGGTCTTAATATCTTTATGTTGGGTTATTCTGATAACCATCCTTGGCTTTGAACCCTTGTCAGTTCCATCCTTGGTATTTTGGAACTATATTTGATATTGATATCCTTTTTCTTTAGAATTAACCCCTTGAAAATCCCTAGTTTTAATCTTGTTAAGATTGTAACACATGGGTAGTGCTTGTGATGAGGATGGTAAGTGATGCAATTTCCAGGACCCTTCACTGCAATTACAATACGAAAG